TACATTCTTAATCCTATTATGCCAAGGATTTCACTAAGGTATCATATCTCTAAAATTTATTATTTTCAAGTAGTAATGTTATGTTGATCAAAATTAAGGATTAAATAAAGAGTTCAAATGATATGACAATCTAATCAGCCTTCTAAATTAGCTATCATGTCATTTAATAAAGCTGTTAAATGACATGACAACTAACTTAAAAAATTGATTAGACAATAATTAGTATTACAAGTCGGCTGTAATGTCATTTAATAAAAAACTCAAATGACATGATAGTTGGTTTGAAAGGCTGATGACAGTTGACTTAATCTCTTTATTTGGTCTCTAATTTTGGTCAGCGTAACATTACTGTATTTCAAAAGGTGATTCATAATTTTTTGTATGTCATTTTACAATTGAAAATTTTATTATTTTTGTGGTGAATTTATTATTTTTGTAAGTATTTTTATTATATTTGTGAATATTTTTATTATATTTGTAAATATTTTTTCACTATTGTGGTAACTAATTTTATCATTTTTTTGTATATCATAATAATAATAAAAATATTCATAAATATAATAAAAATAACCACAAATATGATAAAATGAAAAAAAAAATTTGGGTACTATACGCAAATCCTTATGCCAAAGTTTATGTGGTTTAGTTTGGAGAAAACTTTGAAATCTTGGCAAAGGATTTTTTGATAGTTTGCATATCCTAATTCCACTTGCACTAAATATTGATGTCAACCAAATATTGAATAAATCGAGACATGCTAAGGTAGGGTACTCGTAGAGTTGTCAATTTTTGACACATGTTAGCATGACATAAATCAAACATAAAATTAATAAGTTGGATATGAAATTAAACAGGTCAATGGATAAAAAAAGTTCAACACACTTGAATGCAAAAAAAAAAAAATTATGTCGAGTTTAGGTCAAAATCAGGTCAACCCAATTTTAAACTAATTAACCCATATATTTTGAATGGGTTGATATAATTCGGACACGAACCCGATCTAACTACTTATAGACCCGTTTTATCTGTTTATGACAGTATAATTTGCATATTGTGTATGACCGATGTGGTCTTACAATTATTATTTATTAATTTTTAGTTCTAATATTGTGATTGATAGTATAGTTCTTAACATTATTATTAGTATAATTGCATTAATTTTTTGGGTTAAAACTTAAATGTATTTTAGTTAATTTCATTAATGAGATGTGATATATTATTGGTGAAAAATTTATTTGAAAATTTGAATAATTGAATGGTGTATTTAATGGTAATGAACAAATGTGAAAACAGATTATGTGTATTAAACATATCTTGTTATATGTGTCAAACATGTTAAACAAATTATTTTATATGTGTTAATTCAAAAACAACCTGTTTATTAAAGTGTCAAACAGGTCGAGTTCGAATAACTCACTTAATGGTCAATTCAGGTTAGTGTTTACACATCTTAACACTATTATTAGATAGGTCAGGTTCGTGTTTGGAATTTTTGATACAAATTCGAAATCAAGTAGATACGAAATGACTCAATTTGACACCCCTAGTCATTCAAATAGTTGACTAGTTTATCGGTCAGGCCTGGCCAAACCAGCCCAAGTCAATCCATCAGTCCAATCGTAGGGTCGGGACCAGGAACTAGTTCGACCCATGCCCCAAAAAGAAAAGCCTAGCATGGGGTCGTGTTGTAGACTCGTAACTTACGGGAGTGGTCCGAGTGGATGTTGTTAGTATCATAGCGTTAGCGTTGAATAAACTTAAAGAGATAAAGGAATGTGAGTATTTTTTTTAAAATTTATTTGACTTTAAATATCAAATTGACTAAAAAAAGAAACAAACCTATGAATATGCTCATTTTGATATTAGAGAAGCAGAGAGGGTTTTTTTTTTAAAAGATTACTAATAAGCATTATTTTATTTAAAATTTATTAAGTCCAATCATTTATATTTTATATCAATAAAGTCCTACTCATGATATTCTATTTTAATTAAGTCCTAAATTTAATTATATTCTAATTTTGTTTTTATTCTTTAGTTACCAAAACTCTTTCATTCTTAAAACAAATTAAGGGAACAAAAATTCTTTGTTTACAAAATTAACATCAAAAATCCACACAAAAAAAGAAAAAAAACTCAGCTAACATAAATTTTATGGTAGGATCTGAAAAAAGCTCACATTTTTCTTATTTTCTTATCTCATTAGGGTACCTAATCTTAAAACTCAAGACCATATTTTTAGATTATTTAATAAAATAAGAAATGTCAAAAAAATTATATCGATAATATTTGTTGATTAATTCCATTTTAATTTCATTATCGATTCAAACACAACAACTAAAAAAAATCCATAACTTAACTATTTTTAATCCACTATAAATTAATAGAATATGATTTTGGTAAGAATTAGCTTAAATTAATATTGATTTACAGTCTATAATATTTCATTAATTGATTCATAGAATACAAAAAAAAAAAACGAAAGAGTTTTAGTAACTAAAGGAAAGGATAAAATTAGAATATAATGGAATTATGACTTAATTGAAATAAAATATTAAAAATAGGATTTTATTAATATAAAAAATGATAGGAATTAATGAATATTTGTAAGAGAAAATAAAACTTATTAGCAATTTTTCCTACATATTTTGACAAGAAAAAAATTTTAAAAGGAATTTTATGTATATTTCCTATTTTTCATTTTTTTGTCACGTCATCTAGACATCTATAGAGGTTATGATAATTACGAGAATCGACTGAACATGCCTTGGAAGTACCCAAATCATTGCAAAGTCGGCCAATGAGATATAATCAAGTGAACATGCCTTAGTGTCGGTGGGGTCAAATTTTATTTGAATTTTTTGTCTCGCCGCGACACTAAAATTCAATACCCAGTATTAATAAATGCATATAATTACTCACAAAAACACACAATGAACAAAATATGAGTAAACGCACAAACTCATAGCAAACACACAAGCATTACTGGCCAAATGACCAAATTTTTTACTTCTCAACAAACCTAAAAGAAATCGGCTCGGGATCTATTAACAAAATGTGTCCAAACTCCCTTAGTTGCACTGCAGATTCTAACATACTTTATAAACAACATACAAAGTGGCAGTTGCAAGTCCAATGCAAGACACTAGTTAGGTTTGCTCACAAAGTTTCTCACAACCTGTTGATTATGGTTGAATCCTTTTGCCACTTTCAAAAAGTGTTGATCATGGCAGGGAACAGTTACAATCGTTGGCTGATCTAGCCATCAACTGTCCATAACCACTCTGCATGCTATATGCACATGTCTGCAACATCCCTCATGCTATGCACATGCCAACAATTGCACAAAACCGTGTTATATGTCATGCAAATGCGAGCAACTATTTGGAATCACTAACATCTGCAGTACACATGTCTCAACTATTCGAAACCACCTCACATGTTGTGCACATGACTTTCTTGCAAGCCCACAACAACTTATTAGCCTTAGTCAAAAAATTATCCAAATTACATAGTTGTGATCATGAATTATCCATATTTTGGTCAAAAACTACTATATTACACATTTTTGGTCAAGAGTATTCCAAATTTTAGTTAAGAGTTATCCAAAAAAAATTTTTGCCCATATTTAGATATCACGTGACATGTTTATGATAAAAAAATGATTAGTAATTTGAATGGCGCTACTTGGAATCTATTACCAATCTACCCCATTTATCAAACTTATTTACCAATCTACTCTCGTTTTCAACTTATTTACCAATCTACTCTCGTTTTCAACTTATTTACCAAACTACCGATGTTTTAAAAGCGAATTTGACAAATCCGACTTCATGGGAAAAACGGATTTGACAAATTTGACTTTATAGGGAAAGCGGATTTGACAAATTCGACTTTACAGGGAAAGTGAACATACCAAATCTGACTTCATTTAGAAAACAGACATACTAAATCCGTTTTTTAATATTTCATCTAATTTTCTTACTGGGATACCACCCGAAATTCTTGACTTTATATATTTTCTCCCTAAAAAATAAATCACTCATTTTTATCATATATTTAATTATTTCATATTTGATTAATTTGTAATTAATATATTTTTAAAAAATTTAATATAATGGGATCTATTTTTTGGATGCTCGAATTTTATATTTTATCGTGTCTTCAAGCATGGGTTATAACTAATAAATTTAGATAGAATCTATTAGAGGATTTTTAACGACTAATAAAGGTGAGTAATTTATTCACAAAAAAATATATAATCAGAGAGACCAAACGTATTCAATAAATAGTCAAATACACTTTTGGCGATCAACACAATTATACATATAAAGGCTTGCACCTTAGTAAGTCTGCTTTCCATATAAAGACGGATTTTGCATGTCTGTTTTTCATATAAAGACGGATTTGGTATGTTCACTTTCCCTATGAAGTCAGATTTACCAAATCCGCTTTTCAAATGAAGTTGGATTTGCCAAATTCACTTTCCAAATGAAGTCGGATTTGCTAAATTCGCTTTCCCCATGAAGTCAGATTTGTCAAATCCGCTTTTAAAACAGTGGTAGTTTGATAAATAAGTTGAAAATGACAGTAAATCGGTAAATAAGTTTGATAAATGAAGTATATTGGTAATAGATTTCGTCTACTTGAGGGACCACGTATAAACATATTCAATTATTCATGACCAATATAATGCAATTGAAATATTAAAAATCAAAATGAGATAAATTTGATACTTTGGGAACCTGCCATGTAATTAATCCACATATATATATAAAAAAAAAAAAACATAGTATGAACTATGAACTAAATAATTCATTGATAGATTCGGCAAGTACGTAGTGCCAGAAGAAAGAAAGGATTCAGAGTGTCATACCCTATGCGAAAGGCTTCACTAATAGCGGCACCTTAGAAATATAAATAGTAGACAACCTTAACACCTTTTTGGAAAGGCCGATTCTCAGAACGAAGCTATTGACTAAATGCTGGAGAAAGAAACCGAGTCAACCCAAGCTTGAACCAGCCGAGTCCATCATGCTAGGGTCGAGTTGCTCAATCGGAATGGGTGTGACAATTAGTGAGGTTAAGGTATCTTTTGTCTCTCCAGTTGATGTCCCAATACCATCTCCATTTTGGAAGATACACTGAGCAGTCCTTGCCATGTTTAATGACATCCTTACAAGGGATTGAGGATGAGATTTTCTTGCAATTGTCTCATTAAGATTACTCCATGAGGAGATTATCAGACTCTTCATGTGATGGTATGCTTGTTCTTCTGACACTTGCTCTTCGATCATGTAACATTGGATGGACTTTGGCACATCTCCTCTTGCAAGCTCAGCCTTGAAGATTGCACACACAAAAAAAAAGTAAGGTTCTATAAGATCAATTCAACATATAGAGTATTTCAAAAGTTAAAAATTAGATACATGAAATCAAATATCTCGTCTGTCAACGAAAAAAAAGTAAGAGTTTACATCAGCACAGATTGACTCTACTTACCAATTAATGACCGAAGCCATCAATCAATAGAGGGAAGAGAATGACACATGTTTTCAAGATAGAAGAAAATTTTATGAGAGATAGTAAGTATTAATCCATATTTTTAAAGAAGGCCATTAGGTCTCAAAATTCAGCTTAATAGTGGAATTGAACTTGATAGAAGTATAGAATTTCAAAGTGTTAGTTTATACATGATCCACTCCTCCAGGCCTTCACTAATTGGGACTAAATATGATGTCATGTTTATTCACGCATTTTAGTGCAGTCGTAAGGTTGTGCCGTTATGATATGTGTATCACGGGTTGGAGACTTTGAAATAGATTTTGCACATGAAAAGATAAGGTAGTGTACTTCTAACATTCCCTAACATTAAAGGCTCAAGCACTGAGTTGCCCTTTTACTTCTATTCACATATAGATTAGATAGGTCACATGCATTATGCAAATTAAGTGAAAATACCTTGGAAGTGCCCAAATCATTGCAAATTCGGGTAATGAGAGATGACCAATAAATTGTCTCTGAGCCAAGCTTGAAGCAGCTGAGAGAATTTTCTGCTACAGGGAACCCTAGCAACACGTAAGCATGGAATATGGCTATCGGACCACCTATGGACGTGCAAGCATTTCTAAAATATTCTTCCAGTGTTGGTGTATGACCACCGTAAAACCATCGTGCTTCAAGCAAATATGAACAACAAAGATTTGTCCACTACAACAAAAAAATTAGCTTTTGTTAGCCAAAATTATTGCTCTTGCATTTAGAGATTAATGCATAGAAATATTATTGTTTTGCAACTTAGATGCATTATTATAGATTGTGAAAATTGTAAACTATACTCTTATCGCTTAAATAATAATCCTAGTTTTTTTTTGTTGTTTTTTCAATTTCACATTTTCTCACATTCCACTTTCATCTATTTGAGCTGATTTTAGATTACAATAACTCCAAATGTCTATTAGAATTTTGAGGTTCTACAAATTCCATGCTTAATTATGTGAAAGAAAATGTTCATTTTTTTCTTTGTAGAAGTCAACCAAATAAACAAACTCTCTTGTACCCTTGATAGAACAATAGAATGACAATTATAACCTCACAACCAGCAATCCATGGTGGGATTTGAGGTAGGAATGGTAATGGACCAAAAAAAACGGATGTTCGTCCAAACCCGTCTCGTTTGGATCGGGGAAAGATCATACGTATTGGACGATAAACATACACACATATAAAATTCTGTGAGAATGGAAGCAGGGATAGACTGAAACTCGCCTCCATCCAGTCCCGCTAAACTCATGATATCACAAAAATACAAATCTCACCCACCCTCCCACTCACTTATTACTACATGAGTAATGTTATTTGAATCTAAAAATCTGATATAATTTGTTGACTTGATGATGTGGTTGCATTGAAATCATTGGATTAACACTAAGATCCAATGTTTGATGGAGCCCATAATCAATTTAAAGGTCATAGTTAATTAAGTCAACAAATTAGGTTTCAACAACATTGCTCTTAATACATATATACAATATCACAAACCTTACCCACTCACATTATTCTCTTTACCAAAAAAGAAAACTTTACTTTCTCTTTTTTGTTTTTTTGGATCTATTTGTTATAAAATAGAGTTTTATTCTTCTTGCATAATCATTTGTGAGGTTTTACTATTTTTTAAAATTTCTTTCTTAAAACCATAGAAATTAATTATTATGGACGGGGACGGTGGTGAGGATGGGGACGAGAATGAGGATGAGGATCAATATTTACCCGTGGGGTGGAGATGAGAATTAAAATTTCCTCTACTAACGGGGGTAGACCGAAGATAGACAAATATTTTTTAAGTGTGTACCGAGGTGGAAACTACTCCCCTGCCCCTGCCCCTGCCCCTGCCCCTGCCTCTGCCTGGTCCACTCCCATCCCTAAGTGGAGGTGGTGGGCCTGAGGATTAGTGGATGTAGTGGATTTGGTGTCTAGTGGCCGTGGGAATTTGGAGGGGTGATGCGTGAGCTTGTGTGTATGTGTGTGAGAGAGAGAGAGTGAAGGGTATTTGTGTAATTTTGGAAGTGATTGTCACATTTACCTTTACTTGTGTATAGTTTTCTCCATAGACATTTGATATCGAGGGAATGATATTGTGAAATCAAATCAAATATTTAATGGTGCAAAGTGTAATATATGAAAATAAAACAAAAATGTTTTCAAACTTATTTCTTACCTCTTCTTTAATGTAGGGAAGAACATTCAGACCATTATCTTTCAGAACATCATCCGCAACTTTATTTCCGGAATTGAACATGGCCAAGTAACATAGCTTCATGTACTCAGGAAGGTCCTCCATGGCCTCGATGCTCCATCTGATAGAGCAAACACAATAAACCATCACGTTCAATGCCTGTGATCCAAAGTTTTATTTCAACTCAACATTGTTATGTTCACATATCATACCGATTTACTGCATTAGTGAAGCGTTCAAGCTCATCTAATGATCCATAAATGTCATACATGTCGTCGATCGCGCTTAATATGCAAACCATCTTGGTAAGGCCTTTTCTGCTTTTGGAGAACTGGGGCTCATAAATTATTCCCATTGCCCACAAATAATTTTCCATCAAGCGATCCCGGGAAAAGCTCAAGTTTTCTTTAAATCTTGAGTCTCTCCACCACCTAAACCGTGAAATTCTATACTTATCGTTATTGTTAATTCATCCTTAATAAAGATATGATTTTTTTCTAGGAAAAACTTACATTGCAAGTTCCTTTAGTTCTTGCTGATGTATGGATTGCACCAGATTATAATCCAATTTGGCCAATTTGCTCAGAATTAAGCTTTTTTCATCGTCCACTACAAAGAGATCGATGAATTTCCGGGCTTCCAACCTTGGCATTCTCCAGTATAGTGGTGTTTGCAAGGATTGCTTGACCTGCTCAGCTAAATTATTGTCCAACTTACCAGCCAATGACACTAGATGTTTAATACTGAAGTTCTTTGCTTCTTTTAAGCCATCGTCACTGTTCATTCCAAGGTGTGAAGCTTCATACAAACTCAAAAGACCTGTTGCATCCTTGCTTAAGCTGTCCATGAATCTTCCTTTCTTATCTTTGAATTTGTTAAACAGATCTGTAATTTCGTAAAAGAAAACACGTTTAATTATTATTTTATGAACACGATCAACATGCATCTTAGTGTTCGTGTGTGTGTGTGTATATATATATAAAGGTAATAAACCCAAAAAGAAAAAACAAAATTATAAAACAACCGATAACAAAAAAAACTTTCAAAAACGCTATTAAACGGCAGATAAGTTATTTTTTCGTGATTTGTAATATAAACTATTCTACTACCTGAACTAACTGAATGACCATGTTCTCTTAGAAGTCGAAATTACAGTGAAGTATTGTATAAATCACCCATCACAGCCTCAAGAACATGATCTATGCCATCTCGGATCTCTTCCTCAAAATGGTAGGCCACTCCTAGTCGCTGTATTGAATCAATAAGCTTCATTTGAGTTGGAGGTTCTGTTTCAGATTTAAGTAACCTTGTAGTTTCTTTCTTCAACTCCTCCAACGTGTGGCCATATAACTCATACTACATGCAAGATCAGCCAAATTTAGCTACTACCACAATGACTTAATTATAAAAATGATAAAAAAAAAAAAATGATATAATACCCTCCTCTAATTTACCCAAAAAAAAAAACAAAATACCCTTCGTCTCTCCAACATTGATAAAATGATATTGGAGTTAACTATCTATTTATTTGGCCCTTGGACTATACTATTTATGTCAGTCAAGCCCTTAAATTATGATTTGTGTTAATTAATTCATGAATTATAACATTTGTGTCAATATGATCCTTCTTTCCAAATTTGTCGTTAAATTTGATGGAATTTCTCACGTGTATAACACGTGACCCCTAAACTATGCCCTAATTCCTGACTCACGTGATGTGCACATGAGAAATTCCGTTCAAGTTAACTGTAAATTTGGATGGAGGGACCATATTGACATAAATGGTATAGATCAGGGGCTAAATTAAAACAAAAATATAATTCAAGGATTTGATTGACACGGTTAAGGGTCAAATAAATATTAATACTTGTCACCCCAGTAACTCTGTATAAGAAAAATAACAGAAAATTGACAAAAAAAAAAAATTTAAAAATGTGGGACTTAAGTGTATAGGGTGTGCTAAATGACTCGATATGCTTGGGATCCCAAATGGTAGGATGATAGTTAGCTGATCGCCGTTGATTTGCATGAACCTCAATTGTTTTCGAATTGATGCATATAACATTGATGGGCCTGCTTTGCTTGACTCTGATCTGTTGCTTTGTTAAAGTGGGCATTCCTCTATGGCAAAGAACTGAATGAAAACATGAAGGATATGGATGAATAAGTTCCATTGGGAGTTCTGAAATCTCATGAACAAGTTCCTTTTTTTTGGTGAGAGATAAACAAGTTCATCGGTATTTATTGGACGAAACAAAGGAAATGGCTGGAGTGAGGTTTAGCAACCATCACATCTAAGAAAAATATTTATCGATGAGTGAGTGAAAAAAAAATTATAATTTTTATAATTCAAGTTACAACATATTATGTTAACAGCTGTCCTCTTGTCCTTTACTAATTATTCTACAACTGTAGTGCACTTATCTTGTACTGGTGACACTTGTGTTTTCATGTATTTTGGAACAATATGGCCCACCTTCATAAGTAATTATAAACAAATGGTCTCTAGTACCCTTGGATTTGTTAGATGATCTGCAATAAAACTTGGTGCAGAAAGGGAGCTGCATCTCTTTTTCCGGCACATTTCTTGAGTTGATACAGTTGCTTTTCTGCAAGTGGATAATGTTTTTTGGCATTTTAGTCGTGCTATCTCGGTACGATTTCTGCCATGACAAGTTAAAACTTTGAATATGGTTACATTAGTGTGACTCCAATTCAACACAATACTATCAAGTTTGAATTAGAGATTTTGATATCGAGTGATTTACTGTGTTAAGTGTTAAACGTAAAAGATTTGATTAGATTTTTTGGTGAAAATTTTCAATTGGATTTCACCCTTTAAACCATAGTCAAAAATGGAAATCAAATCAAACACTAATGGAAGATGACATTGCCACAATCTTTGCAATATGTGGAAAGCGATGGAGAAGCTGCTGGAGAGGGACAAACTAGTTTCATTGTGAGTTTTAAAATCTCATAAACAAGTTAATAACGATATGTATACCACTTTTGTGCACTATCTCGTCTATACCACTTAATGTGGCATGACATCAATCATCAAATATTCAATGAATTCAAT